AAAAAAAAACTGAAAACATCACGATCAGTGAAAACTGTTTTGCAATGTGTGCAACAATATGAAGGAGAAAAAAGTATGCAGATATTGAACTCCGACTACATTTTAAGTTTAGAAACTTACAAGAAGTGTACAGCAAGGGGAGTAAGAACCCCTGATCTTCAGATCTGTTCCCAGTCTGTGGGGTTGATTTACTAAAGGCAAACAGGCTGTACATTTGCAAGGGGAATGTTGCAGGGGAATTCAGCTTAGCGTAGGTGGTAACAAATTCACTTGCAAAAATACCCAATCACGTGCAAAACAAAAGAAAAACAAACAAACAAAAAGAGCAGTATTTTTGCTTCCACTTGATTGGATGATGGAAGTAAGCGAGGTTTACCACATTCCCAAGTGAAGGGGAAACTTCCCTTGCAAAGTGAGCAGCCTATTTGTGACCATGTTTCAGGTTACATCCTGAATATGGGTATAACAAGTTTACATTTAAGATCATGTTTCCTAAGTCTTAAGTGTATAAGCTTTTAAAATCATGTTTTTGTAACTTTTCTTAGCTCTCATTGACAGGAGCAAGTAGAACTTCAGTCTAAAGGAATCCTTCCTCCTGTTTAATAGCAGTGCTACTATGAGGCATTAATATTGTTATTAAATATTATTAGGTCTGTAAATTTAAACCCCAAGTCATTTTGCTTCAATTTCCAAAGTGGATAGATTTGCTAATATCATAATTAACCAATTTTCTACAGACAAAATATTTTGTTCTTTGTTGGAGTTGTAGATTCTGTTGTTGGAATACCTCTGCTCTGTACCACAAACTTTTGAAACTGAAACATAATATTGGCAGGAGTAGAAACCAAACAGTGTAAATTGTAATGTCATCTCACATTGGTGGTCAGTGGAGAAATGCCACCTTACATCAGGCTTCAGTAAAGCGTCCACTTGCATCTGTGGTCAGTAAAGCGTCCACTTGCATCCGTAGTCAGTAAAGCGTGCACTTGCATCCGTAGTCAGTAAAGCATCCACTTGCCAGTAACATGCCCCCTTACATCTGTGGTCGGTAAATGGCCCCCTTACATCTGTGGTCGGTAAATGGCCCCTTACATCTGTGGTCGGTAAATGGCCCCCTTACATCTGTGGTCAGTAAATGGCCCCCTTACATCTGTGGTCAGTAAATTGTTCCCTTAAATCTGTGGAGAGTAAAGCATCCCCTTACATCTGTGGAGAGAAAAGCTTCCACTAACATCTGTGGTCAGTAAAACATCCCCATACATCAGTAGGTCAGTAAAGTATTCCCTTACATCAGTAGGCCAGTAGAGTGTCCCCTTACATCAGTAGGTCAGTAACATGCCCCCTTACATCAGAAGGCCAGTAACATGTCCCCTTACATCAGAAGGCCAGTAACATGTCCCCTTTCCCCTGATCTTCAGATCTGTTCCCAGTCTGTGGGGTTGATTTACTAAAGGCAAACAGGCTGTACATTTGCAAGGGGAATGTTGCAGGGGAATTCAGCTTAGCGTAGGTGGTAACAAATTCACTTGCAAAAATACCCAATCACGTGCAAAACAAAAGAAAAACAAACAAACAAAAAGAGCAGTATTTTTGCTTCCACTTGATTGGATGATGGAAGTAAGCGAGGTTTACCACATTCCCAAGTGAAGGGGAAACTTCCCTTGCAAAGTGAGCAGCCTATTTGTGACCATGTTTCAGGTTACATCCTGAATATGGGTATAACAAGTTTACATTTAAGATCATGTTTCCTAAGTCTTAAGTGTATAAGCTTTTAAAATCATGTTTTTGTAACTTTTCTTAGCTCTCATTGACAGGAGCAAGTAGAACTTCAGTCTAAAGGAATCCTTCCTCCTGTTTAATAGCAGTGCTACTATGAGGCATTAATATTGTTATTAAATATTATTAGGTCTGTAAATTTAAACCCCAAGTCATTTTGCTTCAATTTCCAAAGTGGATAGATTTGCTAATATCATAATTAACCAATTTTCTACAGACAAAATATTTTGTTCTTTGTTGGAGTTGTAGATTCTGTTGTTGGAATACCTCTGCTCTGTACCACAAACTTTTGAAACTGAAACATAATATTGGCAGGAGTAGAAACCAAACAGTGTAAATTGTAATGTCATCTCACATTGGTGGTCAGTGGAGAAATGCCACCTTACATCAGGCTTCAGTAAAGCGTCCACTTGCATCTGTGGTCAGTAAAGCGTCCACTTGCATCCGTAGTCAGTAAAGCGTGCACTTGCATCCGTAGTCAGTAAAGCATCCACTTGCCAGTAACATGCCCCCTTACATCTGTGGTCGGTAAATGGCCCCCTTACATCTGTGGTCGGTAAATGGCCCCTTACATCTGTGGTCGGTAAATGGCCCCCTTACATCTGTGGTCAGTAAATGGCCCCCTTACATCTGTGGTCAGTAAATTGTTCCCTTAAATCTGTGGAGAGTAAAGCATCCCCTTACATCTGTGGAGAGAAAAGCTTCCACTAACATCTGTGGTCAGTAAAACATCCCCATACAGCAGTAGGTCAGTAAAGTATTCCCTTACATCAGTAGGCCAGTAGAGTGTCCCCTTACATCAGTAGGTCAGTAACATGCCCCCTTACATCAGAAGGCCAGTAACATGTCCCCTTACATCAGAAGGCCAGTAACATGTCCCCTTACATCAGTGGTCAGTAAAACTTCCCCTTACATCAGTAGATCAGTAAAGTGTCCACTTACATCAGTAGGTCAGTAAAACTTCCCCTTACAGCAGTGGTCAGTAAAACTTCCCCTTATATCAGTAGGTCAGTAAAGTGTCCCCTTACATCAGTAGGTCAGTAAAGCGTCCCCTTACATCAGTAGGTCAGTAAAACTTCCCCTTACATTAGTAGGTCAGTAGCATGTCCCCTTCCAGACAGGTAAAGAAGAAATACCAGGTGTCAGTAAGTAAAATTCATAGCAATGTTCTGCTTTAGATGTATGTGTAGCCAAAACGTTTGGAAACATATTGGATCAAGTAAGGGAGGTTCAGAACCCCTTTCTGGATTGTATTGCTGTCTGTTTTTTGATGGGGAGAGTCACAATCTCTCTGGCGATTAATGTCAATGGACAGAAAGTGATGGGAGATACAAAAGGTTACAGTTGCCACAATAAATGAGGCCAAATCCTCCAAACAGAACGCCTGTTGTGGTGACAACTCTCTAAGGCTCCATTCACACATAGCAGTAGCGAAAAAAATGCGCAGAATGGAAAAAACCGCAAACATTAACATAGGCGCGGATTCTGCACATTTGTGGCTATTACTATACCATAACACGCAAAATCCGCCCATAAAGAAAAAAAGTTGCGCTTGGACTATTTTGCAGGACGCACGGTTTTGTACTGCATGGACGCAACAATAGTCTGAACAATGCACATTGCAATGCTTTTTTTTTATGTTTAGCGCGTTTCCGGAACACCACTCATGATTTAATGGAACACAAGAGGAAATCTCCTCACTTTGTAAAGATTTTTGTTTTCTTTGTGCAACACAGGAAGTGAAGGGAAATCTCCCCAGTGGGACACAGAAAGCAAAAAAGAAACTGACAAGGGTCTAAATTTGTCCCTACTCTGACCAAAACTAAAATAAAATAAAAAAAATTGAAAGTATTAACTTTACCTAGCTGTGGCCGAAGATGATCTTCAACTGCAGCATCAGTGCCTGGGAGATTCTGGCTGCATAACAGTTGCAACAGCTGCTCTTTCATGCAATAAATAAACAAAAAAGTGGGTACTTAGTTTTCTATGCTGATGTACTGAAGGACTGTGACATGAAGAATGGAGGAAAAGGGGACAATAGACCACCTGTCAAATGTGACAATACTTTCCTATAGGGATTGGATCATTTTTCTAGGCATCTGCCCATTTAATACAACAGCTAGAACTTTTTCATTGGTATCCATCTAGGTGTAGACTTTTTACTTATGATAGGTGACAGAAACCTTTTCGGCTAGAAATATGGAAGATGCCAGTGCTGATATCTTTTTTTCCCCCAGGTACATGCTCTGAAGCAGTCATACATATCCTTTCTTCACTACTCCATTAGCAAATGACCTAAGGCTGGGTTCACACCTAGGCGAAAGCATTTTTGATGCACGTTTTGTGCACTTTTTGCATGTTTCATGCGCATAAATCAAGTTGCATGTTTTTGTGAACAGATCATAGCTCATTGATGTTAATGAGCATACACGAGCAGAAATGCACAAACACAGCAAACGTACGTTTTCAAACGTTTCCTATAGAGTCTGTGGGGCCAAAACAAGCTGCAATGTGGGGGGAAAAAAAAGCTCATGTGCTTTTTCCAGCGACAGGTGTTTTGCTTATTGCCACAAATGCTCAGATGTGAACAGGGCAATAGGTATTAAGGGGATTTTTTTAGGGCGGAAAAAGCCCTACAAAATGCTCAGTGTGTACCAGGCCTAAAAAAAGAAGTGACTCAACAAGCACTGACTGAAGGATGCAAACATTAGCCCTGGAACAAGCATCTTAAAAAGCACAACAATGGCAGCACCAAAATGTATATTCTGAAAGACTCCTTTAATAAGAAAGAACAAAGAGCAACTGCGAGTAGTTAACCAGAATAACCAATCACGTTATCTTTAAGTAGTCTGTCAGCACCTAAACTGTTAAACGCAAATGTCCGATTGGCTTTCATATGTAGCGTGACATCACTGTTCATTGTATCATGGCTTTCATATGTAGCGTGACATCACTGTTCATTGTATCATGGCTTTCATATGTAGCGTGACATCACTGTT